ACTAAAGTGTAAACATCCGGGGTAATGAAGACAGAACTCCGCCAGGTTGGAGGTCAGCAGGTCAGGGATCGAGTCTGCTCTACGTTAGCCAGCTGTGTGACCTCCTTTGAGTCATTTACCCTTTCTGGGTCTGAGTCTTCCATGATAAGATGTGAATCTTGGCGGGGCTCGACTATTTCCCCAGCCTGGTTCTGGGAACTAGATACAGCACAGCCAAGTCCTTCTACACATCAGAGGTGCAGCAATGAGCTGCCCCGTCCTCCTCCACCTCGCCGGCCCTTTCCTCCCCCTGGGGTCGGTGGGACTCTGGCTCCAGTGCTGACCTCCAGCCTTGTTCCTGAAGGAGGAGGAGCTGGGCTGATCAGCAGATGGCCAACAATGGACGGGCCAGTGACTTTCTCTGGACCTTTTCCTTAGACCCTTTGATGCTTTTTGCATATTAGAGTAACATTGCCTCAAGCTTTATTATGAGACTCTATTTTTGACTTCGTAATTTGTGATACAAATGACCATAGATCATAAGTACAAGATAACTTTTTTTTTAATTAGAAGGATATTGCTGATATAGAAACTAAGTAAAACTATAAGGAAGCATCACTGCCTTTTAAATATTTTTACAACTTTCATTTGGGAATTATTTACAAACCCTTTACATATTTAAATAAAATGTGTCCTCAGTGATAACAAAATTTTATTTGACAAGGATTTGGGATTTGAAACTGGAGCCAAATCAGAGGAGTGAGGTACTCAGTGTGGGTGAAATTATTCCTGGTTGGGCCAGCAGGTGGCGTGCTGGTTGAGGCACTCGACTACCACGTGACATACTGGTTCTAGTCTCAGACTAGGCTGCTGGCTTTCTCACTTTCTCTCTCTCTCTCTGTCTCTCTTTGGTGTGCACACGTGCCCTATAGCAAATTTAAGGATAATAGTAATACTAAATAAAAATGAATAAATAATTCTTTAAAAAAACTGTTCCTGGTCAAATACAAGTCAATAAAGAACTGATCCTGGTTTTCTCCTATGGCTTCTAAAAGAATACTAAGACAGTTCTATTTAAAAATGCTTCGGGGAACCAGCAGTTAGCGTAATGGCTATGTCGCTGGACTCCCACGTAATCGACCACGATTCGTGTCCCGGACCCGGTGGCTTAAAACTCACGCCGGGCGTGTGTGCGTGCGTGCCCAAGATCCCGAGAGGAGAATGGAGGAGAAGGGATTGCGGCGTGACCATCCCCCCTGGGGGGTGATTTCTCGCTTTCTGTCTCTATGTCTCTCTCTGTCTGTCTGGCGAGCGCACGCGCCCTACAGTGAAAATCTCTCCAAAAAAAAAAAAAAAAAATGCTTCGGGTAGTCCAGAGCGTCTGGAGCAATGGCAGCAGGTGTAACCCTCCAGGACAGAGCAGCAGCTGCATTCTACTCGGTGCCCTCTGTGCTTCTCCCACCTCGATGGCAGGTTCACCGAGGGCAAAGTCAGTCTTCTCAACTGCGTGTCCGCGGCCCATTTCGTTCGCTGCCATGCCCCAGCAATTGCTCAAGACAAGTTGGCTGACCGAGAACACAAAGCACCTGCAGGAAATGGTCCTTCATCAGCTCGCAGGAGCTGCGGAAAACATGCTGACGGTGCTTTGCAGACGCACCACACCCTCCTCCCCACGCTCCCTGTCTTCTGCCGCCATATTGGTCTCACCAGAGGGGAGGAAAATAAAGACTGTCCTGTGCAGTTGTACCACCCATGGGAAAATCCCACGGGCAGAGTAGCTCATGCCACAGCTCTCCACTACCTCTCCCCCGGCCTCCTCCTCCTCTCTGCCTCTGGATTCCATTTGGTTTTGCCCAGTCCTTGTCTGATTATATGTCTGGCTCCAATATCAATTATTCCACTTCCTCCCGACTTGGCCCCCTCCCTCTTCCAAATCCTCGTGTGTGCTCAGCTCTTCCCCGTTCCCATAGCCTCTCCTGAACTGAGAGGAGACGGGACGTGCCTCAGCAGCTACCCCGACATGAGTCACGTCTGCCATCCTGCCAGTGAAGAAGGAGCGAGGAGGGCTGGGCCTTCGGGTGCGGGAGGGAAAGGGATTTTCACTGGTTGTCAGAAAACGGGCACAGAAAGGGTGAGAACATGTGGGAGCATTTTCAGCAGGCAAGAGAGCTGAGGACTGGGCTAATTAACCAGAAACAAAATGCCCAACAGAGCCAAGCGAGAACTGTTTTAGAATCTCCATGCCCCCCTCGGGGTTCTTTTACAACTCTCGGTTACAGATGTCCATGGCTCCCCTACTCATGTGAGAGCACTTCACAGTTCACGTAGTCAGTGAAGACACCAGCCGGCGTGAGGAGACATTGCAGGTGGCATCACCCCCATTTTAGGGATGGGAACGTTGATGCCCAGTGAGTTTTAAAGGTTTATCTAAGCCCCAGCCAGAGAGTGGCAGAACTGGGGCCAGTCCTAAGCCCTCTGACCTCTGCTGTGGTAACACAATGCCTGTAAACACGTGTCGTGCCTGTATCACCAGTGCCACGACCAATTCTGACTGTTGGGCCAGGGATTTGCCTTCACGGGTTTCACCCGATCCCTCTACCCGGCATTACTCAGACACAGGACAGTCTCAGAGCTGTAGTCAGCCCTGTGTGTCAGAGCCCTGCATTCACATCGGTGCCTGATCCGCCAGCTTTGTGTGGCTCAGACAGCGGTCCCCGTGTTACACCGAGGCTGTAAATTGATATAAAGAATTAGGAGGAAAAAAAAAAAAAAAAAA